TTAAAAATTAATTAAAAACCCACATACTTCAGAAAAAAAAGATAAAAATATGGAAAAAAAGAATGCGCGGTAAATTATGAAGACCATATTCATTGACTCATCTAATGTTGAAGAATATCGACAAATCACCGTATAAAAGTGCGCAAAACAATGGCACACCTGTGATTTACGTAAACGTGAAAACGTCTACTTAGAATGAAGATATAAAAGTGAAAAGTTACAACGGAAAAAGACTGCTTTTGAATACCATTTAATTTTTGACAAATCTTATTTTATGAATTGAACATCTGCCGGAAATATCTGACCAAATCGAAAAAAAGCTCAACATTACATTGTATAGGCTATTTCTTACAGTTATACCACGTGACGGACGGATACACAGCGCATGTGACAATAATTTCATTTACACACCGGATCTTGCTAAGCCATGGAACGTGCCATATAACGAAGCGCCACGTAACGTGCAATGTAACAAAGCGCCATGTAAGTGCCATGTAACAAAACACCATGTAACGTGCCATGTAACAAAACGCCGCATAACGTGCCATGTAACAAAGCGCCAGGTAACGTGAAATGTAACAAAACGCCATGTAACAAAACGCCATGTAACAAAGCGCCATGGAACGTGCCATGTAACAAAGCGTCACGTAACGTGCCATGTAACAAAACGCCATGTAGCGTGCCATGTAACAAAACGCCATGTAACCTACCATGTAACAAAGCGCCATGGAACGTGCCATGCAACAAAGCGCCATGTAACGTGCCATATAACAAAACGTCATGTAACGTGCCATGTAACAGAGCGCCATGTAACCTACCATGTAACAAAGCGCCATGGAACGTGCCATGTAACAAAACGCCGCGTAACGTGCCATGTAACAAAGCGCCATGTAACGTGCCCTATAAAAAAGCGCCATGTAACGTGCCATGTAACAAAGCGCCATGTAACGTGTCATATAAAAAACGCCATGTAACAAAGCGCCATGTAACGTGCCACGTAACAAAGCGCCACGTAACGTGAAATGTAACAAAACGCCATGTAACGTGCCATGTAACAAAGCGCCATGTAACAATCCATGTAACAAAGCGCCATGCAACGTGCCATATAACAAAACGTCATGTAACGTGCCATGTAACATAGCGCCATGTAACGTGTCATTTAACAAAGCGCCATGTAACGTGCCATATAACAAAACGTCATGTAACGTGTCAAGTAACAGAGCGCCATGTAACGTGCCATGTAACAAAGAACCATGTAACAAAGCGCCATGTAACGTGCCATATAAAAAACGCCATGCAATGTGCCATGTAACAAAGCGCAATGTAACGTGCCATGTAACAAAGCGCCATGTAACGTGCCATGTAACAAAGCGTCGTGTAACGTGCTATGTAACAAAGCGCAATGTAACGTACCATGTAACAAAGCGCAATGTAACGTGCCATGTAACAAAGCGCCATGTAACGTGCCATGTAACAAAGCGCCATGTAACGTGCCATATAAAAAACGCCATGTAACGTGCCATGTAACAAAGCGCAATGTAACGTGTCATATAAAAAAACGCCATGTAACGTGCCATGTAACAAAGCGCCATGTAACGTGCCATGTAACGTGCCATGTAACAAAGCGTCGTGTAACGTGCCCTATAAAAAAGCGCCATGTAACAAAGCGCCATATAACAAAGCGCCATGTAACGTGCCATATAAAAAACGCCCTATAACGTGCCATATAAAAAAACGCCATGTAACGTGCCATGTAACAAAGCGCCATGTTACGTGCCATATAAAAAACGCTATGTAACCTGCCATGTAACAAAGCGCCATGTAACGTGCCATGTAACGTAGCGCCATGTAACGTAGCACCATGTAACAAAGCGCCTTGTAACAAAGCGCCATGTAACGTGCCATATAAAAACGCCATGTAACCTGCCATGTAGCAAAGCGCCATGTAACGTGCACGTGCCATGTGACAAAGCGCCATGTAACGTGCCATATAAAAGACGCCCTGTAATGTGCCATAAAAAAACGCCATGCAACGTGCAATGTAACAAAGCGCGTATAATCTTAAAGAAAAATATATTTTGTGTTGTAACATTAAAAATGTTATAAATAAAAGTTGCAGGCCAGGCTTAAGCGGATCTTGATTGGAATTTGAGAGTAAATAATGCTTTGGGGTGTGACTAAGACGTCACATTAGAACATTAAGTTTGAAACTAATTGATACTAAATATTGCAGCCATGAGGCATTTCGGGTACATGTCTTATTGATTTTACGAGCGGCGCTTTACAACTTTACGACGTTTTATTGCATATATTGGTACTTGAATCAACATCTGTTGCAACCACACGATACGCTACATTGGTTTCCATTCATCGTACATTACGAGCAGAATAAATCGTACATACAAAACCCACTTTCGTGTCATTCAGACGTAACACCACATTTGGTTTCCATGCCTCACGAAATACGTATAAAATGTTTAAAAGCCGTCAATAAGTTGTACATTGAAATTGAAATGATGACAAGAACTGACTCCAGTTATCTTAACTGAAGATTATTTGTCGCGACGACGGTGCGTCCTCGGTACAATAATACTTGAAGCACACGGCAATGTTAAATTTGCGAAGTGGGGACAACAATTACAATCCTATACCGTTATTCCGCTTATACGTATATTTTACAGATGCCATCAAAATTACAGGCGTTGTTTTACAAAATAGCACTTGTTTTAAAACTTCACTAAAATGCGAAATTATTCAAAAATAATTCCTGTTTCACGATCTTAAATTTTAACCGGCTTGTCGTTTGTATATGGTATCCTAGCAACCTATAGTGCAATCAGAAGGCAATCTACATATGATGTAATTCATATTCCGCTTACGAGTATCCAATAATTGAGTTTGTATGTTTCACTTCTGTGTCGGTAATTAAATGCACCGCGTGTGTCTGTCATAAAACAGTCAGGGTATTTTAGTCCTGTCGGTTATGGTAGTACGTAAACACATTTCGTAATTGTTTTTTTTTTATTCTAGTCACGAATGATACTCTAAGTTATTAACATGAAAAATATATAATCTGAGAACGCCACCCAGTGTGGATCGTGCAAACACGATAGCGCGTTTTAGTCAGTTTTAGGATATTTTACTATAGTCTCATGGCGTGAATGTATAAATGTGCACAAATTTGCATAGAGACAAAGGAGATAAGTTTCAGAAATAAATATTAGTACACGGCCAGGATAATGAGACACGTGGCTGAGAGTGGTGCAAGACACGACACTCACTACACGCTGTTTATCCATATATTTCGTAATGTCTATGGTTAATTTATGAGTCCTTTGAATATTTAGGTTTTACGTTTTATGTATCAATGCAACACTGCATTCGTCGCATCGCGTCTCTTCGATACGATTCCCGCGCATCGCATACAACGCCGATCACGGAACATTAGAGCACGCATGACGGCAGTAGCGCTTAAAAAAAAAAACTCGATTTTTCTGTGTAATATATCTTATTCCATTTATTTAAAAAAAAAACATTTTTCATTTACGAAGTACAATATAAATAATTGATTAATATTCTAATGATAGATATTTTGTATTTACATACTTGCAAAAAAAAATAAAACGATATTATTTCTTGGATGGTTCAGTTGAGTGTAAGGTTACAATGGAATAGCTTTTTTGTAGTATTATAGAGCTATTATATACATTTAGATAATAACACAAATATCAACTCAATCTCGCCAAAGTTATTATTATTATGAGAATTTGAATTTTTTTTATCGGTAATCAGGTCATTTATACAATGCTTAACGCACCCTTGCTGTCCTAGAATTTCGTTCTTACATATGCCGTGACCTGGATATGCTATGGTATATGGAACCAAAGTACGGTCAACTCAGAACAACGGCAATATAATAGAGACGATTTGATTGGTCTAAACTCAATTCGCAACAGACCTAATATATAAATTAGTCAAGTCAAGTCCACGTCACGTGAAATAACTTCACATGTAACAACTGCATGACTACGATTTAACCAGTGTTACATAAAGTGCGAAAAGGTGGAAGAACGATTTCTAAAATCAGAATGAACACGCCAAATTATAAACTTGGCACCCCCGAATTATTTTGTATCATGTTAATACAATAAAAATAGTAAAACTCTTATGTAAATATACCAGAGACCTTAGAAAACAGGTCCATGAATATACATTCCGTATTACTAGAAGACGTCATCTAAAGTGCAATTGGTGTACTTTATCGATTAAAGTGAAACAATCTTGTGTGTTTGCAATGGAACGCCATGAACACAACATACCATAAAAAAGCTGTTTACATTGAACGTAAAATTAGTAATTCGTCTTCAAAGTTCCACGAGCGACAAAATTGGACGGCTAATGATACAGGGTTGCTGATTGGCTATCTACAATCATGTAAGTTTCATACGCTGAACACATACGTATGACGATGTTGTACATACCTCGGGAAAAAACTTACAATAATGAACAGTCTACAATCAAATTTAGGTCTTGTAAAATGAGCCCTTGTGACGTGTGATATTAAATAACGGCAATGACCACAAAATAATAACTTATAACATGAACAATTCAAACGGGCTGTCTCAACATATTTTTAGATTATACTTTCTGATTTTCAGTGTAAGAAGTATTTTAGTTTATAACACAATTTAATTGCGTGAACGTCCCATAAACCAATTATGTGCAACACGCCACCCAATTATTCAAAATACTTAATACAAGAATATACACTGAGTTTCATCATATTGTTACAAAAAAATAACGATAATGTTATATTGATTGTTTTCGTTTCATCTTTATAAAAAACGTAACTTCACTGTTTTATTAAATTTATACATTAATGCACATACGTTAATAATCTAGAAGGGAATTTACACAAAAATGTCATTACTTTTTTACATTTTTACATTTACAAGTTTTCAGTTTTAAAATAACAAAACTGGATGTCGGAATTATTGCATTCATATATTGTGCCGTTTAAGATTGTTGTGCAATGCCAATCACACGTGCCAAGTGAAAATATGTCAATTATTATTCCGTGTGAACCGAATAATTGTAATAAAAAAGCATAGAGTTTGGCAAGATTGCGTTGACTTTTTGCTGTATTGCATTTGCTATGGGGGGGGGGGGCGTGAACGGGTAATTGGTATATATGGTGATGGGTTAGTATGTGATAAGGTGGTGTGAACTATGAAGTTCAAAGTTAATCTGGGAGTGATTCGATCCAATCTGACTGTATATAGACCGCGATCGACGTAGGTAATGTTCCCTCGAGGCTGCTCCGTTCAGTTCAACTAAAATGCGTAGTTAAAGATGCGGCATAAAACTCTTCTATTTACACTTATTTACAAAGTCCGTCTAAATACAATCCATGTCTGTTCAAACGAATCCAGCACCATGGACGGAAATATTGTAAGTATGCACATTAATTGATTGGATGATCTGCTGTACTTGAATAAACACAGTGTTTCCCTCGGTTTCTTTGGTCGATTAATAAGTTGATTGAATGCCATGAGTAATGTTCTACCCAACAAACAGATCATGACTGGTATCACCCAGCGATACTTCGTTAGCTGACACCTGCGTCATTTGAATTGGCGAGGTTGGGGCTTCCAGTCAGCATCTAGGAACAGAAAATTGAGTTAGTGCGCTTATAGTTATATATAATATTAACACATAGATCCCCTTATTCCGATGTCTATACCGTAAGCCACGGGTGCGATAGGTGGGAAATGGGAGCGGGCGTGCATGGGAAAGTGTAGCGCCGTTTTGTTACGATTGAGATCACCATCGTTTATAACACGTGCGAAGCAAAAGGGTGAGGTTAAAATACAGGGTGACAGCAAGTGCAAAAGTTTACTCTACAAGAACGGGTTAACAGTTTTACACATCTATATGAAACGTGAATTCATGCTCATCAATACTGGTATAAGGGAACTTTCAGGATAAGGCAATATGCTTATCATAAGCAGGTCTCACGCCGCCAAGCAAATTGATGTTAATTTTTTTAATTATTGCATCGACATTGCGTGTTGCTATGTATAATTGTTGCTATTCTCCATTCGTCTGCATCACAAAATATTAATTTTTTTTTCAAGTTTTTAAACTTTCTTAAATTAAAAGGGAATATATAAGAATTTGAATAATACTTCTCTAAATCGTGATATCGTCACCAAATGTGCAAAACGGTATATTACTATTGTTTACTAGTGTCAGTTTTAACCTGTAAATTCCATTACATTGGGACTTCATGGTTTGATCCTTCTCTGGAATTGCCTACCCCCGAGTCTGTCAAACTGTCCTTTTGCTTTGTCCTATCGGGATCCGTTTCTTGTACGGTTTGCGACACGGTGGAACCTGGAGCGATTATATCAATAAGGGGAATCTGGTCGCTTGTTGTTGAAACTTTTTGGCTTTGACCGTTCGCTACAGCATCTTTCTTCCCGTCCAATAACGCTGTTCTACTGTCGGTGCTTATCCGTCGATGTTCTTCTAATTCTAATACGTCATCACTATCAACATCCTTGTCTTTATTATCTTTATCTTTGTCTTTACTCTTCTTCTTCTTTTTCTTTTTCTTTTTCTTCTTGTGTTTCTGTTTAGTCTCGTCGACGTCATCCACCTTGGCTTTGCCATTACCCGTCTCACTATTGCCTGTTTGCTCTGGGGTATTCGGCGGCACCTCAGTTGATGGAAGACTTATCTGTGTTTCCGATGTCGGTTCTTCAATTGAAGGCATTGGAGAAGGCTTTGCAGTGCCCCATGCTTTTTGTGGTTCATGTGTCTTTCCAGTGCCGTCTACCGTAACAATTGGTTCATGCTTAAGCTCAATCGTTTCACCCACACCCACATTTTCCTCTGCCGAAGTGTCTTTAGCCTTGATCTCAAACGCTGGTTCATTTTTCACGGATTCTGGTTGAATGTCGGGTGCTGACACGACTGACTCTCTCTTATAAGAAGGGTCTTGTCCATTAATCCAGTAGGTGAGAACCTCTCCCTTCCCTTTCATAGCCACCAAACCACGTTCTTCAATGTCATACCCGCCAATCTTAACGAGAAGTGCGCGACAAGTCGGACTGCAGTGGATACGTTGAGCTGGAATCAATAGAACCACATGTGAATACCGTATCAGTTTAACCTTAAGATCAGTCTACCTATTAAGTCGGGTATCATAAGTTGATTTCTAAATAATGGATGTCAGTTGTACAAATAACCTCGGGATTGCTGAATTGAGAGAACATTAATTGATGTCGAGTACAATATCTTTAAATATACTTCCCAATTATGCCAAATATTCTCGAAACGTCTCACAGCATCCATCAGCAAATGTTTTATGTGTATTATGCTAGGATTTTCTACCTCCAACTGCTCGTATGTATTCATGTATTACTAAATAGGTTCATTAAGGCCATACGATTGGACATATTATATATTTCTATTGATATATGTTGGTTATATAAGATATAATGAGGAGTACGTCTATTCTTTGAGAAATAATGAGGCGTATATCAATTCTTTGAGTATTTCGACTTACGTTGCCCATTTGATTCCATTCGAGATGCTGTATTTACTGTATCTCCAAATAAGCAATATCTTGGCATGGTTAATCCTACCACACCGGCGCAAACTGGACCTGTGACGTAAACAGATACGAAACTTTTTATCATTGACAATTCTTTACTAGAATTCTTTTTATTTCCATGTCTGCTAAAACTCTCAGTGCTGTAGTGTAGTGTAGTGTAGTGCAGTGTAGTGTAGTGTAGTGTAGTGTAGTGCAGTGTAGTGTAGTGTAGTGTAGTGTAGTGTAGTGTAGTGTAGTGCAGTGCAGTGTAGTGTATTGTAGTGTAGTGTAGTGTAGTGTAGTGTAGTGTAGTGTAGTGTAGTGTAGTGTAGTGTAGTGTAGTGTAGTGGAGTGGAGTGTAGTGTAGTGTAGTGGAGTGTAGTGCTGTAGTGTAGTGTAGTGTAGTGTAGTGTAGTGTAGTGTAGTGTAGTGTAGTGTAGTGTAGTGTAGTGTAGTGTAGTGCCTCTAGCCCACATTATATGACATGCATTCGAATACTATAATGCAGACACACGCAATATAAATGCCGCATATATACTAAGCAGAAACGCAGCACACGAAATGCTATCCACACTTATCTAGGAGTACATGTACGCACACTTTGCAGAGTAAATTTAAGTATATGCTTGTGATTAAATTCCTACCTGAATGGATTCCGATTCGCAGTCTCAGTTGTTCACCTGGCTTGTGTCGGATCTCGAATCTGTTAATTTCTTCTAACAGATGGATTGACGCAGATGCAATTTCCGCAGCGTGTCTGTCCCCATTACGTATAGGTAATCCTGATACTAACATGTACGCATCTCCTATGGTCTCCACTTTGTATGCGTCATAGTTCTTTATTGTAGAATCGAACACCGTGTACAGATCATTAAGAAGATCAATCACCTACAAACAATTAATTATTATAAGTTACGTTAGTCAATCAGGTTACGTGCGAGTGATTATGTTAATTTTAGTTGCGATCATAAAGTGGTTATAGATAATATTGAGTATGTGTATATTGGCTCTATATTAAATGTTGATTATGGTGTGTAATAAACCTGGAGTTTTGTTTTGATGGTTAAATATGCATCAACACGTACTAGCGCATGCGCGCTAGCATAGGTCATTACGTCATAGAACGAATATACCTCATTGTGCAGCAAAGGACATTTTTATTTGGTAAGAATAAAGTTACCATCGGACACATAGAGGTGCAGCCGATATGTTTATTTTCCGCCCGAGTTGTTATGCTATTTACAGCCTACAACTGACAAACAGCTATTTTTGTTAAGTCAATTTGAATTTAAGTTTGAAGACATATAGTCTAATGATTTGGCAAACAGTTGCACACGTTGAATGTTTCGGCATGACTTCACTTTGTATGGAAACAAAGACAACATTTGTGTAACACGATTCAATCACGTTAATGTAATAATGTTTCGAAAATATAACATTATTAACAGAAATGGAAATATAAAAGAAAGGAAAATATAAACTTCCTTAATAATAACAATGAACGGCAATGACGAAAATAAAAGTTTAAACAAAAAAAAAATAAAACTTCTCGAAAAATAAAAACTTTCAAACAAAGCCAGAATGAAAATGAAGCACTAAAAAGAGGAACTTAAACATAAAACATAAACCAATTTATCACAACCTTTAACTAATATGGCTTGAATCCTTCACACTATCCTACGTTACCCGTTTATGTAATTAGAGTCAAACACCATATGTACTATTACGTAACTACTATTCAATCTATCTTTATTATGTATGAACACAAATTGAACTCGGACATAAATCTTTTTTTTCTAAATATTTTGACAGAAAGGTCCTATACTAATTATCCATTTGAAAGATTTCTGGCGAAAATTCACTTCACCGTGCACATTGGTAAACGACATACTTATTATTCACAACGCATCTGACATAGTTGGTATAATAACTTACCTGCCACGGGGTACTCTCGGAAGACAGCTTAGTGAATCCTACGATGTCACTGAAATATATAGTTACGCCTTCGAACGCTTCGGCGTCCACCTTTGCACCTCTCTTCAACGTGTTCGCAACAGACCTGGACAGTAGGATGCATACAGTGTATTAGTCATAGGGGATTTAACCACGATTGAGTTCAGAGAATCCTCAATGAATCAAATCAACGTCAAAACATGTTGAAATAGCTACTGACATGTCATTTTAGCGACTCGGAATTGTACTCAATGCGTGAGTTATCAGAATCTGAATTTTACTAAAGTGCCAACAATCTCATTGTGAGAACACACTTTGTTTTAAATTAAAGACATTTTGAATTAGCGAAGTTACAGATTAGCTAAAATAAAAAGCTAGCTAAAAAGACATGTTATACATCACTTAAATACTAATAACATACACTACTTCAATTAACGGTTTGTCCGAGAAAAGTAAATATAATATACCACCCCGTACTTACTTGGGGAGCATGCTATTAAGTAACTGGTCGGTCTTCTTTTTCTCTTCTATCAGAAGTCCTGTTCTTTCTTCGACAATAGATTCCAAGTTGTTCGCATACTTTTCCATTATTTTTATCATATTATCAAATATGTTGGATTTCCTAAAATGGCAAAAAAAAAGTTGTTCATACATTTTCATTTTTGTCTTGTTTCATTCAATGAATGCTCAAAACAGGAATAAAAGTTTACAGATGCAAATGAAAGTATATTGTTTTAATATTATATTATGTCAAACGGATATGTACTTTGAAAAATATAGTTTATCGTAAATTAATATGCTGCCTTGGTCATACACAAAAATGGCGTTGCTTTGATGAATTCAAAGACGGAACTGTAAACACGCTTTGAATTAAAGACGTGTATATACCAAAGTGTATTCCATCTAAAAAAAAATAATGCCATTCTTTATACGATCAAAGTTCAAGAAAAAAAATCCATTTTTATACACAATACAGTGTTTAACTCACATTCCCTTCTGCATCTCCTTCAGCTTAACTCGCACTTCTTTGAAATCAGGCCGCGCCTCCGGGGATTCATTCCAGCAAGTCTGCAGTGCAGCTGTGTAGTATTCCGGTGTGTCCACCTCATGCAGGGAGGATACGAGTGGACGGATTGGTCTTAATGGGTCGGGCGGATTTTTCAGTCTTTCAACAATTTCTGTAGGATAGAAAAATAGAAGATAATGTGTTTGTAAAAAAAATGTTGTATTTATATATATGTATTCGGTTCCTTGATTCAGTTTAAAGGGCGGTGGTCGTCGCGCAGCGCGTGTTCGATTTTTATGTAAACAAACAATATATTTTACACGCGTTCATACGTCGCTACGTGTCTCATATCGAACAGAACGTGGCGCCACGTGGTCGGGCGGATTTTTCAGTCTTTCAACAATTTCTGTAGGATAGAAAAATAGAAGATAATGTGTTTGTAAAAAAAAATGTTGTATTTATATATATGTATTCGGTTCCTTGATTCAGTTTAAAGGGCGGTGGTCGTCGCGCAGCGCGTGTTCGATTTTTATGTAAACAAACATTATATTTTACACGCGTTCATACGTCGCTACGTGTCTCATATCGAACAGAACGTGGCGCGACGACCATAGCATGGATTATAATATTAGAAAAAACACGAATACTACTAACCGTACGGTGTGTAAATAGATTGTCCATACGGTCCATTCCTCAGAGCTATTTCATACAAAATAATACCGAACGAGTATATATCTCCCTTTTGGGTTCCAGCCAGCGGTGGGTTGGACATTCTCAAAAGCTCGGGTGCGGTCCATAACATATCTGGAACACACACACACACAAAATAATAATTAACAAGTCATTGAAAATGACACAGTCCCCGTTAAATTTTTGAAAGTTGTCTTTGTGCTTGTCATATTAAAGCGGGGGGGGGGGGTTGTTGCGAGCGTGTCCTTGAAACTTGAGTT